AACCTAACCTAACCTAACCTAACCTGACCTAACCTAACCTAACCTAACCTGACCTGACCTAACCTAACCTAACCTAAACTAACCTAACCTAACCTAACCTAGCTTCCTGGCAATACGTTAGTAATGAATAAATATGATAGGTTAGGTTGACCTAACCCAACCTAACCTAACCTAACCTAAACTAACCTATCCTAACCTAACCTCACCTAACCTCACCTAACCTAACCTAACCTAACCTAACCTAACCTACCTAACCTAACCTAGCTTCCTGGCAATACGTTAGTAATGAATAAATATGATAGGTTAGGTTGACCTAACCCAACCTAACCTAACCTAAACTAAACTAAACTAAACCTAACCTAACCTAAACCTCACCTAAACTAAACTAAACTAAACTGACCTGACCTGACCTGACCTGAACCAAACCTGACCTGACCTAACCTAACCTGACCTGACCTGACCTAATCTGACCTGACCTCACCTGACCTGACCTAATCTGACCTGACCTGACCTGACCTCATGTTACGGCCCTCTCGGGACGCAACGGGGTTCTCTGATGTTGTTAGAGTCAGATATAGATATCCGTTCCCAAGCCAGTAGTGGCTATCAAGGGATGAGATCCGTGACGCAAGTAACTTAAAGGGAGTAGGGAAAGAAAGCTAAGAACTTAATATTATAATTTTCACCATCACCGATTAAATATATAAAATAAAAGAGTGCACGAGGGGGAGGGGTATTAACACTTTACAAGGGGATTAATCCACAATCGATGTCTTCTGCTGAAGACGCTGGTGCCATAACTCTCGGTGCCGAATCCTTGGTGCTCTCTTCGTGGCCTCACAATTAATTCTCCAAAGAAGTGGAGCCTACACTGGCCACAGGTCAGCCAAAACACGGGTCCACTGGGGGCACCGCCGTGGAGGCCATCAACCACACGTCCAGCTGGTCTGCTGGCAGGTTCTGAGCCCACAAGGCTGGTACGGCCACTCCACGGACGATAAAAGGGGAACGCCCTAGACAGGAGCTTCGTGTGACACCACAAGTCACTCTCCTGTCTTCAGTACCCCAGTGGATGATCGTCTCCAACAGTCGGTCCCGGGTAAATCCTTTTACTGCCACTCCACTGGCAGGCTAACACACCACAGTGTTCTTCCGGGGGGGACGACGTCACAACAGCTGCAGCAAGGTTCAAGGTATGGAGACTGGCTGCCTCGGGTAGACTGACTCCACTTCCATCACAGCAGTCCCAGGTCGGCTCTGTAAGCAGACACGTCATCAATAACTGGGACACTAAAACACCTCACTTACGGGCTCGGGCACAAACACCTGACGTATCCAGTCCATAGATGGCGCTGTCGTCGGAGCACCACCTCACCAGAGGTCAGGAGCGGCTGTGTTGTGAGCTGTACAGGACTGGAAACTGGTCCTTGTGGCTGGTACACCTTGTCCTCACCAGGTGTCGTCGTCCGTTTGGCGGGGGTTTCGGGAGCTGACCCACAGATGGCGTGGTCGTTACTACTCCGTGCTCGGACGCTGGATCCGGGTTCGTAACACCTGACCTGACCTGACCTGACCTGACCTGACCTAACCTAACCTAACCTAACCTAACCTAACCTAACCTAGGTTTGGGCAAAATATGACCCATCGCCGTTTTCAGTAATTGGCATATTTTCGGTATGAAACGTCGTAATTTGAAACTGAAAATAGGCGCAGAGAGTCAGAATACGGCTCAAAAATCACGCTCAGGAGTCAAATTTCCGACATTTCAGACATTTTGAAAACTTCAGGGGGGTTTGGGCAAAATAGGACCCATCGCCGGTTTCAGTAATTGGCATATTTTCGGTATAAAAAGTCGTAATTTGAACCTTAAAATAGGTGCAGAGAGTCAGAATTCGGCTCAAAAATCACGCTCAGGAGTCAAATTTCCGACATTTCAGACATTTTGAAAACTGCAGGGGGGGTTTGGGCAAAATATAACCCATCGCCGTTTACAGTAATTGACATATTTTCGGTATGAAACGTCGTAATTTGAAACTGAAAATAGGCGCAGAGAGTCAGAATTCGGCTCAAAAATCACGCTCAGGTCAGGTCAGGACTGGGGACAGACCATCCAGGGACGCCAGGGCCGAGTCAGGGACGCCTGGACCGAGCCAGGGCCGAGCCAGGGACGCCAGAGCCGAGCCAGCAACGCTAGGGACGCCAGAACCAGGTCAGGGACGCCAGAACCAGGTCAGGGACGCTAAAGCCGAGCCAGGGACGAGCCAGGGACGCCAGGGCCGAGCCAGGGATGCCAAGGCCGAGCCAGGGATGCCAAGGCCGAGTCAGGGATGCCAGGGACGTCAGAGTCGAGCTAGGGCCGAGCCAGGGACGCCAGGGCTGAGCAGGACAAGAACGCCAGGGAGGCCTGGGCAACTGGTGTTATCACTGTTGCTACTACTACTGGTGTTATCATAGGTGCTGCAACTGGTGTTATCATAGGTGCTGCAACTGGTGTTATCATAGGTGCTGCAACTGGTGTTATCATAGGTGCCGCAACTGGTGTTATCATAGGTGCTGCAACTGGTGTTATCATAGGTGCTGCAACTGGTGTTATCATAGGTGCTGCAACTGGTGTTATCATAGGTGCTGCAACTGGTGTTATCATAGGTGCTGCAACTGGTGTTATCATAGGTGCTGCAACTGGTGTTATCACTGCTGCTACTATTGGTGGTGTCACTAGCACTGTTATTAGCGTTATCACTGCTACTTATGAAAAGTTACGATCTGGTGTTCGCGTGCACAGCTGCCGAGCGTGGCTGTTGCTTGCTTGATGTTATCCTGTTCCAGCCGGGCAGCCCAGGTTCAACCCACAGTACCGGCCTGACGTCGTGAGGGGACGGACGTACTACGTCTCGCAAGTCCTGTCTCTTATTTACTTACATATATTTTCTCTCTTACTTTTATCGGGTGTTCAAGCACTGTGTGAACAGCTGCCAGAAGAGAGGTAAATAAACTGACACACTAGGGGCCGCGTCCGCTCATTACGGCTACAATGGTTCTGAACCATTTGGTAAGGATTAGGTTCACTCTGTTGCAACTGGGAATAGACAAACATATTTTTAACTTTGATTTCATTTAATATCAGAATTTAGAATAATAGATTGTAGGAGATTTATAACATTATCATAATTTATTAGGAACCATTCCAGAATCGTCTGGATAAAAAAAAACATTCTAACCTAAAAGGATTGCGGACACGGTTGCCCATTGTCAGGGACAGGAGGCTCGAGGCAACTCACAACAGTGGCCTAAATCCAAGGTATATGTGCACATAGGTGAGCACACCCATCAGTGCCGAAGAAATGTTTCTAAATTTTTCGCTCTCACGCGCTAATTGGTTATTATTAACTCATTATTAGTGTATACAGGTTCCGTGGGAGCCTGAATCCAATTCAATTGACGCTACCAGCATACTCCTCCTGTGAGTGGTGGTATATTTATTTATTTATTTATTTTTATGTATTTATTTATGTACAATAAGATACATTGGGGGTTAAGAGAGTAACATAGCAATGTTGATTTTACATTCTTGTAAAGCCACTAGCAGGCATAGCGTTTCGGGCAAGTCCTTAATCTAACAGGTAATTTTAAGTATGTAATTTTAAGTAGATAATTTCCAGTAAAATTGATAAATAATGTTTACAGGTACATTGTAGGAAATTTTGACACAATACACAAAGATTAGATTAATCTATATAAATAAAAATGAAAATGTTTGTTTGTGCATAACCGCTAATCTCCGAAAGTTCTTCACTGATTGCTTTGAAATTTTCACACGTTTCGTTTCGCCACCAAACAGGTTTTTATATACGTATTATATAGATGTCACGTCTGTGACATTTATTTAAAAAAAAAAATGCTTTTTCTGGAAAACTGTGTTTTTCATGTGAGGGAAATCTTCGAAACCTCTACTAATTGCTTTGAAATTTTGACGCAACGTTGCATTCGAATAGGCACGTCTTTTTATACCTCTACTATATACATGCCTCACCTGTGACAGGATTTTTTTTTTTTTAAACATCGCCATCTGTTGGACGTAAGAGCAACACACACTGTATTCTCTGAAAGTTCTTCACCGATTGCTTTGAAATTTTGACACAACGTTGCATTCGAATAGGCGCGTCTTTTTATATACCTACTATATAGATGCTGGTGACTACTATACGTGACAGAAATGTGACTACATTTCTACTATATAGAAATGGTGACACACATCACCATATCACACGCTCCTCCCACAATGTTCTTTAATGCCTTTCCACATAACTTGTAGATTGTGTGTGGCCTAGTTTCTCCTATTCCACATTCCATAACATGGCATTTATTCACATTGAATTCCATTTGTCCAGGTCATCGTGTGTACTCCCTTGTGCTTGCGGGAGTGGGTGGGGGGTGGGGGTAGCTTTGGCTCTTTAGTCCCGCCTCTCAACCGTCAATCAACTGCTGTACAGGTTCCTGAGCCTATTGGGCTCTATCATATCTACACTTGAAACTGAGTATGTATTCTGCCTCCTCAACATCACTGCCTAATGCATTCTATTTATTAACTACTCTGACAATAAACAAATTCTTTCTAATGTCTTTATGGCATTTGGACACTCAATTTCCACCTGTGTCCCCTACTGCGTGTGTCCCTTGTGTTAAATAAACTGTCTTTGTCTACCCTCTCCTATGTTTGTGTGTGTGTGTGTGTGTACTTATCTAATTGTATTCACCTAGTTGTGCTTGCGGGGGTTGAGCTCTGGCTCGTTGGTCCCGCCTCTCAATTGTCAATCAACTGGTGTACAGATTCCTGAGCCTACTGGGCTCTGTCATATCTACATTTGAAACTGTGTATGGAATCAGCCTCCACCACATCACTGCCTAATGCATTCCACCTGTTAACTACTCTGACACTGAAAAAGTTCTTTCTAACGTCCCTGTGGCTCATTTGGGTACTCAGTTTCCACCTGTGTCCCCTT